TTGAGATCTAGAGCCAGAGTTTAAAAATCTAGCACACACAAGGCAGTATAAATACTTGCTGTTTTGAACTGAAGCTCAAGATCTCCCTATTCTGAATTTTATCCAATACTTTCTAAGGAGGCATTTTTAAAATCCTAGTCTAGACAATAGATCAGGCTTCAGGGATGTGGGAAGCTCTGGCTTGTCTGCCTGTCTGTTTGCTGAACTGATTGATGTACTTGTTTGCTTTCATGCTGTGGACTGTTTTGCTACTTTCTGCCTTTCCTAAAACCCTTCTCCCTCCTGTGACCCTTCCAGGGAACTCTCCCTGTGCACAACACTGCTATTTCAGGGAACCTAACACACTGTGTTAAGGTGAAGTTACTCCCAGAGATTGTTTGCCACATAATGCACCAGCATCCTTACAAGAACCGGTGTGTCTTTCATCTGATTTGGGAGAGAGCACATCTTTTATTTCCAGACTAAAACCACGCTCTGAATGTGGTATTGTCTCACTTTTGTGTCTGAAGTCAATTTACAAGACACATTGGGGTATATACATCTGATTGTATACTCAAGATATGGGTTTACAAGCATGTGATTGCAGGGACATTTTGAAGATGTTTGCATAGGACATGTTGCTGACCTGTTTTATGTATTTAATACATGTTTGGAAGGCAATGCAAGTCTTTACTATCACCCAGTACTTAATATGTCAAACAGAGCTCCTGGTGACCAGCAAGTGTGTGCCTGCCAATATACTATCCAATTCACGTAGGAAGCCTTATACGCATCAGTGAGTGCGGTGTAGTGAAATAGAAGTCATGGTATGCTTGAATCTTTTTTTTTTCAGGATTGTAATATTCATGATTATTTGTCTCTCAAATGATATGTCTACCTCTTTATCTACAGATTTCTGTTCATTGCTTTTATGCCTTTGCTGTCACAAAAATGATGAAGTCTCTTAATATGCTCATGGTGGCTGTAGTGACCTGCACTGTGCTACAGCGGTTGAAGACAAACAGTCATACAGCTGTGTGTTTATTTGACTTCTCTTGCCACTGGCATGGGGCAGACTTGCTCAGTAGTGACCCACTTGAACTTTCAAAAGTATTTTTCATGCTGGTGGTATAAAATCTTTATTCATTGCTGGAGACAACCTTCAACATCTGTCTTAGTTCTTACAGCAACCCCTGCCGAGGCTACATTGTGGATTTGACCTTGCTCTAAATCTCTGGAATATGTATTCTGGAGTTGAGAGGAATGTAATTTTTATATTTATAATTTTTTTTTTTCCCCTGCATATCCTCACTGGTAGAAAATGAAACCTTACACACTTCTTCTAGAATGAAAATTAAAAATAAATGCCTACAGACCATTGTGAGCTGAATACTAATGCCTGCACTTAGACAAAATATTCTGCAAAATCAATGGAAATTTTACTTCTGTTGGAGGATTAGCAGTGTCTTTCAAGCACAAGGTGAACATAGGGTAAAACTAGGGAGGAATCTTTTTTAGATGATTTATAGTTTCGGTAAAGCACAGAGATAAACCCTGAAAGTAAAATGGAAAAAGAGATGCCCACAAGAAACATGATTCTTGTTAATCCTGGTTAACCTTAAAGAACATGTATAGAAAATATTAAGTTTAGACATGGTTGTTGTCAGTAGCAAACAAATTGGGAGTATAGATACCTCTGTCCTCATGGAATTTCTTTACTACTTTCAAAATCTACTTATGACAAGGGCAGCTCTACTGTCTGTGCTCACTGTTCTTCTGATGGTAGACCTAAGGGTTTTGGAGATTAATTGCAGCAGGCTCCTAACCTTTGGGGAGGTTTTGGACAGACAGGTTTTTCTGCAGACATTTTTCTTGTCTTCTAACACACAAGCTGCATACATTCTCTGTACCACGCATGTGGGTAGCCTGCCCAGAAACTACATTCTGTCCTTAATCCAGTGTCTCCGGCAAAGTCAACCACAGTGTGGATGGGCGTGTCTCTCAACTCTGCCAAGTTTCTTCTGTCCTTATTGAACAGTGAAGTATCAGAGTTGAGGTAGGAGCTTAGTAGAAATGGGTGGTCTGGTAGCTATACTAGCTCTGTGCTTTTGTTTTATGAAAGAGTCGTTCTCTGTCTTTCTCAAAGAAAGACTTCTCATGGGAGATTTAGAAAGTGCTTTTTCATCTTCCCCTCTCTTCTGTCTCTTGAGAAAGCTGCTGAGATGAGATGATGACTCAGTCCATACTACCCTCTGAGCCGATACCAGGGAGCCTCTTGCTTTATTTTGCAAATACAAGGTGGCAGCAGGAGTTATAGTGTTTTTGTCTGTCTCTGAAATGGAAAGTGAATCTTTTAATTGTAGGCTGCAGATTTCTTACAAATTCTATTGCCTCCAGAGGACTGTGAACTGCAGCAGCAGCCCCTGATTAAGACTTCATGTAACTATCGCTCAAGGATGTATTTGCCTAGGACTTGCATAGCATTTCTGAAAGGAAGCAGATGTCACTTTTACTTTCTTGATCTGTGCTGGTTTCCAATTCAGGTTTGATTTTTACTGGAAGGTGTTGCTTTGGACCTGGAATGTTCTGGCTGCCTGGGAGATGTTATGCTCAACAGGGAAATGTGAGCTAAAAGCTGTAGATATAATTGTGAGGTGGAGGAGGCAAGGTGTTTACTGTGCAGTTCCCACCCAGGCTTAGGCCATCCAGAGTTAATCTTTTTGCTCTCTGGAGTTATTTTTTCCCTTGATTTTTTTGTTGAACTTTTGTTGCACTGTTTTTTCTACACAGCTCTATTCCGTGCAATTTAAAGTGCTGGCAGCACTAGCTAATCCTGCTTTGAAAGCTGATGTTCTGAATGCTTTGTGAGTTTTGAATTGAAAAGACTGAGAAAGAAATATTGTGTAGGTTTTGACATTTCCTTGTAGTGCCCAAAGAACTATTTCTCTAAGCTCTTTAGGGCAAGTAGAATTATTCTTACTTTGAATGGTACAGTTAGATTTTTTCAGACTGTTTTCAAACTCGTACCCTAGCATGATATTCAAGCCTGAAAGAGCCTATCTGGGTCAGCAGCAAGGTAGAAAAAAAATTTGGTGTTAAAAAGCAGCATTGAATGGCAATGGAGTAAAGAGAGAGATGCAGCTGGACTTAGTTTTTCACAGTGGAGGGGGCAGTACAAAAGGTAAAAAGGAGCTATAAACAAAAAGCTGAAACGAAGAGGTATTTCTTATTATTCTTATTCTTATTATCTTATTCTTATTTTGTATTAAAAAAACCCAACAACCTATATGACCAGTTGCAAAGGCAATGGCAAGATCTGTGCAAGAAAAGATCTGTGTTTATCATGTGTTGGGGCATTGCTGTATCTTCCATGGATGTGTCACTGTATCCTGTCACCAGCACAGCTGAAGTCTCCATGTCCTACTTTCCCATTTACTGAATTGTCACTGAAGTTTGAACTTCGTCTTTCTTAGCCGTTTTCCCTGGGCTGAATGATGGGACTTGCTTGACAGAGCCCTTCTTTGGTATTTTCTTTCTCATTCTGCACCTGTGTCTCTTCTCACAGAGCTATTCCCTGAGCATCACAAGGAACATCAGTGAAGAGTTGATTTTGTTTTGTAAAGTTTCTGGTCTGACCCTTAATTTAGGGCAGACATTTCAGTCTACAATAAACTCTGTGTTCTTGCATGCCGCAGTGAAAGAATTACGAGCGGTCCTTAGCCATGTGCGTTCAGGATGCTTTGGGAGCCCCATGGGACAGGTAGACTTCAGTGCCTGAAAACTTATTACAGAATGAGGGTACAGTCAGTATGTTATTTTCTGTAAAATAATGTATGTGTGGGTCTGCTTGTATGTAAAAGCTTCTACATGATTCACTAAGGTCATTAGGAGCAGAATGGCATACCATCATTTCAGGTACAGAGCTCTTCAAAATGAACAGCTTTTTCCATCTTTCCCCAGGGAACCCTGAGAGGCAGCCAGTGTGTAGGTGGGAGGAGGCTGTTCATAAGTCTTCCATCACAACATCCAGAAACACAAAGCTTATTGTTGGGATGAGCCTGCAGCCCTATGTGACAAATACGGCAAGGCAGTCAGATGAAAAGGGCCAACTTTTCTTGCTAAGACAAAGGCCGACTGATTTTTAAAGTTTTACATCCTGGACTTCTTATGAGTGTATGGAGTACATGTTGGCAGAGGGTCCAGAGCTAAATGCAGTATTCTATAAGCATGGTTAAGTCATCAGGCAACAGCACAGAATGAAAAAAAAAAAAACAACTTTCCGCTGACTTTATCTTAGATGTATATTCTGTGTTTCTGCCTTTGCTGTGCTTTTTGCCTCTTTCTGTTCCTGCTATTCGTTGATACACCAGGATATAGCCAGTCCAGATTACTTAGATTTTTCTCTTTTTTTGCCACATTCATTCCCAGAAGTTCATGTACCTTCTTGATTTTCAGTCCTCTGAAGGAAGCAGACCTGGGTTTGTATAGTTAGACTTGGAGGCTAAGAAGAATGTGCTTTCTTAAGAGATTTTGGCTGATTTGATATCTGAGGTCATGGGCATAGTGGAAGAACACCTGCTCTCATCTTGCTTCAGCACCTGATCCCTGCCCCATCAAGCATAGAAGGGCAAAGCACAGGAGGTGAAGAATAACGTAAAAAATTGCTCAATAACTTTTTTGATTGTCTGGAAAGGTTCATGGATAATGATTTTATTCTCCCTGGTTTTCTCATATCCACACCAAAAATATCATAGAAAGATGCTGTTTCTTCAGCTGTTACACTCATTGCTTGAGAGAGTGAAAGGAGTATGAATAACCCAAGGTCTCTGCAAGTAATATAGAAAGTGTTGGAAGACAGTTGTACATGTTCCTCATATGCCTGATGCAAGCAGAAATTTCTGTTGGCAAATGCTGCCTTTGCTAAGGCTTTTGCAAAACTTATTACCAGTCTGTGTGGGTGCATACACATCTACTTGACGTATGGCTTTAATTTTTTTCTAACTGAGCCTATTTTCCTTCAGGGTGGCAGAACACAGTGCATCCAAGAAGTCTGCCCCAGC